GGCATGAGCCTCTAGGTCTCATTGTTCCAGATGAGGGAGTCAGTCTTAAGAGTGTTTGGCACTGAAGAGAAAAAGGAGTGAGAGTTATAGGGAATGAACAGGCCCTAAAGAGGCAGGATGCTGTTGTAACAATGGCTGGCACAGTTGGGGGGGCCATTCACTGGTTGAGATTGCCATAGGCATTGATGTGAAGAAGCATATGTGAGCAAAAGAGGCAAGGGTGAGAAGGGAAAAGCAAACAAATGTATCAGAAGGGTCCTGTTGGCAGAAAGAAACAAGAGTAATCCAATTAGACTCATCTTAATATTAGTGTGTTTATGATGAAGGGTATATTTTATTTCTAATTTATCTTATAGCCTATTTTCTAACTTTATTTTATTCTCTCTTTTAAAATATATGCATTTACCTTTCCCCTAAAGAGACAGATCCTTAAATTAAGAGAACTTGGTTTTGATTTCCATCTGTTCTACTTAGCAATGAGCTGATGTTGGGTAAAGCATCTTTCTGAGCCTTAGTTTGCTCATCTGCAAAATGAATATAACAGTTATATATGCCACTGACAAAAATGTTGTATCTGGCAGCATTCTGTAAATGGAAATGCTGTGCAAATAATACTAACCCTCACGCTTATTTTAATATAGGGAGCCCTAGTTCTTACTTCGAAGGCGATCATGATATTCCAGTGCTTGGGAGAATGAACTCTCAGGTGAAGGAATTTTCAGGAGAATCTTTTAGTGTAAAGTGCAAAACGTGACATATTTTAACACGAAAGTAGATGAAACTCATAAATATATACACCTACTATGTACCCACAAAAATTTTTAAAAATTAAAGGAAACTCCAGAATTTTAACATTTGTGAATAACTAGGTATCCCACATACCATATTCATAGCACAAAATACAATTCTATGTGTGTGCATTTTTAAAATCTTATTTTAGAAAATTAAATATTTAATAGATAATTACTATCTATTCACTCCATAAGCAGTGAAGCAGCACTTACATAATTGTGTCAAATTTCATTCTACTCATATTCACACATTAACCAACAGGTGTATTGTAAATATTGAGCTTTTGCCATTTGGCCCTTTACAGTTTGAAATGTGAATTTTTTAATAGATCTTTACCATTTTCAGAGAAATTTAAGCACTGCTACATGTCCATTAATTGTGCTCATTATTGTGAGATCCATTTCTACTTTTTTTCAAGAACTATCAGTGAAAAAAAAATGGAAACTGTAGCAGTTGGTAGATTATTGAATGTGGATTTTTTTTTTTTTTTTGAAGCTCTTTACAGAAATTCAGAGAGAGGGGTGAAGTGGGTGAAATGATGTCTTTATGATCCCCTTCCCTCCTCACTCCCATAGACCCATCTAGCCAGTGTCACTGTCTTGGAGAGAGGCTAGGTTATTTTACTTATAGCCTGATATTCCTTCTACCATGTAAGTAAAAAGAATCATTTCATTGTGTATCTCTGCTATGTACTCATAGGATTTCACCAAATTATCCAGAATCCTAGAGTGCAAGGCATATAATTGGAACCCACCCTAAAAACAAAAACTGTGAAAAATCCTGCCTTTTAATTTCATAGTTGCTAGTCATACAAATAAGTTACCCTAGAAAATTCATCAAGTTATTACTTCATCCAGCCAAAGGAGTTAATAAGAATTGTTTTTTCCTACTATTCTGGATTGTTTTGTAGATGAAATGAGGGAATATGTATGTGTGTGTGTGTGTCAGTTTTGTGTTGCCATAACAAAATAACACAGACTGGATGATTTATAAAGAAAAGAAATTTATTACTCACAATTGTGGTGACTGAGAAGTCCAACCTCAAGGTGCTAGCATCTGGTGAGGGCCTTCTTGATGCATCACCCCATGGTGGAAAGCAGAAGAATAAGAGAGTGCACACATGAGAGACAGATGGAACTTGTACCCTGAAGTCTTTCTTTAATCAGCCTTAATCCATTCATGGCTAGAGCCCTTATGACCTAAATAGCTCCCAGGAGGCCTCACCTCCCTTTTGAATTAGGGATTCAAAATTGAAAATGAATTTTCAACATATGCTTTTGGGGGTACCCATTGAAAGCGTAGCAATATATGTGCTTCAAAGAACAAAGATTTTGGGGATCCAATAGGTCAAATTTAGCTCCACATTGGGTAAATCATGCTAACTTCCTAAGTTTTGGTTTCTTAAATGGCAAAACAGAGGTACCAATATCTAATTCAGCAGATTACTGTGAGAAGTATGAGATACCACATGTAAAGGACCTGGTACTTTGCTTAGCATTTAGCCCTCTAAATAGTGGCTATGATATCATTTTGTTGTTGATAAGAGAGTTAGGAATTTGTAGGAAAAAAACTTAGTTCAAGTCCTCAATTCTGTCCATTTTGTGGAACCTCAGACCAGTCCTCTTTTTTCTTTTTGCTGCTGCTGCTTCACCTTTTTAAACATGTAGCATACATGTAATAACACAATCTAAGTCTTTATTTGGTTATTATAATTAAATAAGAGAATACAGATTAAAACCTCTAGTATAGTTCCTGGCACATAGGCTGCTATATAAATGTATTTTAATCTAAATTTAAAGTATATACCTCATCCAAGTTGTAAGTATTAGTGTCTTTATTCATCCACAGACATGACAACCCTGAGTTAGATATGTCTCTGATTTTACATTTTCCAAATAATTTAGTCTTTACGAAGTTATTCATATTTTTTTTTTGTAGTATATGCTTAAAACTCAAGTACTTGAACAAACTGGCTCTGTTTACCAGCCTTATAGCTTTATGCTAGTTAATAAAGAGGATAGGAATGTTCTGCAGGTTTCAAAATCTGGCTGCTGTTTCTTTAACTCTGCAACTTAGACAGAAGACTTCTGTTTCTTTATGAGCACACTACAGTGAATATTTTGTCTAGCTGCAGGGGAAAAGCTTTGTCATGGACTTTGCAGACAATAGCCTTAAAAGTAAAATGGTCTGCTTTGGTGCCTGGAGGTTCAGGGGCCTATTGTTAGTGCACAATGGATTTCTATTGCTGCATTCCTGCTTTGCAAAGGTTTGTTAGCTTTTAATGACTGACAGTACTCTATTGCAAATACCATCTTGGCTGTGCCCTGTTTACATGCTACTCAAGAATTTTTGTAGAGTGCTGGAAAAAAGAAACAGTGATGTTTGTTTGACCTACTCTGATAAGGTTTAAGAAATAATTTCACTCTCAAACCGTTTACTGGAAATGTAGAAATGTTGGAAGTTCTTGCAAAAGTATTTTAAAGTTACTTTTAAAGCCTCAGTGAAGAGAAATACTGGTTACAATATGAAGATAATTACTCTGTTTTATTACTCCTAGAATTGTTGTTAATATTCTGAAATAATATAGAAATTGGGATATTTTTTAAAAATCCCAAAGTAAATTATTCAGTATTAGTTCTTAAATGTGAAAAATAGAGCTATGTATTTTGTTCCAAAGGAAAAAATTCATTTTTCATTTATCCAACTTCATTCATTCATTTCAAATTCATTCCATAGGTAAATGTGCATATATTATTTGTTGTAAGTATATATACATATTTGCACATATGTATATATGTATACATATAGACTATGTAAAAGAGTAATCATTCAGAGCTTTTTACCATTTTATTTTCCACAAGTTTCTGACATGTGAGACAAAAGTGTTCCATAATGTTATATTTTTTTTTCCATGGAAAATTACATCTCTGCTTTGTTGAAAACTCCACGCAGGCTTTGTGACTGCTAGCTGATTGCTGTAAAGATGGGGCCCTGGAAAAAGTAGATAGCATTAGCTAAACATGGTAAAGAAAACTCTTTAAAATGTATTTTACTGTGGGGAAAATTAACCGGTTTCTAATAATATTATGGTGTTTAGGCCAGACGGTCCCTTTGATAAGTTAACACGTACTCCCTTTATGCTCCTAGTTGGGGGTAAACAAATGCCTGAACAAACACAAATACACATAAACACCAATGTGGAGAATGGCAGTGTATGTCTTAGATCTATATAATAAATGTGGGTATTGTTATTTAGATGGAGCATACTGGGACACTTATCTTTTAGTACATTCCATTTTCTAAGTGAATGCAGTGCTAATTGTGGGATTGAAAGCCATTGTAATTGTGTACCCATCTAAATGCTGACAAGAATATACAATTATATTGTTTGAAACTGAGTTTAATGTTTGGGAGTTTTTATTAGCATTTATATTTACTTATACATTAAAATTCAACACAAAAGTAAAGGTCAAAAACTATGTTATATGTAGAAACAAATAGCAGACTACAGCAGACCTTGCTTTCTAAAATGTGTGTGCCCTGTCCCAATACAGGGCATTTTTAAAAAGTGTGATACAAATCTGAAATAAGCAAATAATAGGTTTCCGTTATAGGCATTTCTCACTTCTCTAGATTTTGCAATCTTTTTAAAGCTTCTTTTATACCAACTTTTTTTTTTTTTTTTTTTTTTTTTTTAATGTGCGCAGTACTGGCAAATCTTGCCACAGTGTGCTTACCACCACACGATGTTAAACACATATAATAAAGTGGATGTAATTGTAAACACACAGAGGGATATAATTACATGTAGCAGATTTAAGAGCTAATTCTTTGCCTTTTTTTACTCTGCATTTTATCAACATAATTATTTTTTGACTGCAGACTAACACCCTGGAATTGACAAGCATCCATTATAGCAAGAATTTGTTCACCAAATTGAAAAACAATGAGCTGCAAGGTTTATGTGTACCCATTGTCATAAAGAATTAGTATGGCTTTGTTCCGAAAGAGGAAAAAGCTAATGATTTTGAAACAGCAGGTGACAAAACACTTTCTTTTTTTCCACCCCTGTTATCAGTTTTTTGATGAAGCCATTATGAAGTGGGGCTGGGATAGGGATGGCCTTATTTTTAGCAGATAGACTTTTAATGAGCTCCATTGTAAGGAGAGTCATGTTGATTTGCTTACCTCTTTTTTTCTTTACTTAGAAACCCCCAGTATTGAAAAGCTACTCTCAAAGGACTGGAAAGACAAGCTTCTTGCAATGGGATCGGGGAACTTTGGCGAAATAAAAGGTAATATAGTGTGATTATTTTGATCCAAAATGTACCAAAATGAAGTTGATATTCAGGGATATTAATGGTGATAAAGTATTTTTGCCCTCACCCCTCTTCTGCTTCTTGCCTTCTCTGTGTTTGGGGTTTCTTCCTTCTATCTTGAAGGAGGATGTAACAGGGTTCTTTTATTATTTTTTCTTTGTGCCTTATAGAATAAATGTTACGTTGTTTTCATGGAGTCACCCCACTATACCTCTAACAGGCTCTGATTTTCATAATTTAAAAAATTTATTTATTTTATAAGTAAGAATATACCTACAGCAAGGTTAAAAACTGTATATTATAAGATGATTTTCTACATTTTACATATAGGAAATATGGGTATGTATGACCTACATTTAAAACCAGAAATGATCAATGGGGAGAGCATTATAAAAGGTTGTTTTATACCAGTCAGGGTAACAATTTGTTTTGGTTTTATTTGAATCAACAATTACATCCAACTAAAAAATTCTATAAAAATATTCATATCTTAATAAACTCCTAATAACAAAGGGAGAAGATTTAATTTCCTCATATAAAATAAAAGCAAATTATCCTTTCAATTAATTTAAAAGTATGTTTTCTCAAAACATTAGGCAATCTGCAGTTTCCTGTTTGTTGCTAATGGGACACTTAAGGTTCTAAGTTCTTTTTTTTTTTGAGATGGAATCTGAGTACTACAATAGGATTAATTCTGAAAAAGTCAAGATACTTAGTCATCAGTATAAACTACTTAGTTATATATTACTGTGTACATTTTTGGTAGAGGCTGAATATATATCTGAAACATCACCAGACATATTAATATACATGTAGAAATATAAGTATAAATAACTTTTTTGCATATGTGTGTCTGTGCAAGTTTTTTCACACTGAGAGAAGCAGTTGTCTCTCTTAAGGCTCTACTCCATCAGTGTATCCTGGAAAAAGGCAAAGCATCGGTCTTAAATGTTTGGCCTACATGACATTAACATCTGGATATCTAGAAAATTCCAGAAAATGTTTGACTCTTTCATTTTTCATACAGATCATTTGGAATTATATATATTTAGGCTATGATTACTTGTGAAAAGATGATGAGAAAATGAATTGGTGCTAATCAACAAATTCAGTAACCGAAATCTACAATGGAATCAAATGCAAATGAATGAGACTCAATATGCCTTAAAGAGCTTGAAGACAATGTTTAAGGAGAACTGAGAAGTTTCATCTTCAGAGGCAGCAGGTCCTTTATATTATTTTGATGAGTTTTAACCCATTTACGCCTGAGGCATATGATGCATTCTGCATGGTTTTTTATTCTTCTCTGACCTGGGTGATAACTCAAGAGCAGAGCAGAGAAGACTGCCTTTTCTAAGCCTTCTGATCTCATTCCAATGGAGGACAAACATTTTTTCCCTCCCTTGTTTTCCTTCACAAGCCAAACTTAAAAGCAGCAACAGCAGTGATGACAAGCTTAGAGGAAAGCTCAGCTGTCCCTTTCAGGCTGGCCTTGGGGGTTAGTTTAGGAAGCTGCAGCACAATCACAAAAGAAGTTTCTGTCTTTAATTTTGAGTTTTTTAAGCTTCACATTCAGAGTACAAGTTAGGTTATTGTCCTCTGGTTCTGTTCAAAAACTGTTTTCTGATGCATTTTAAAAGCAACTGTAGGTCTTTCTTCTGTTCAGGGCATGGTTATTAGGTGCTCAGCTCAGGTTTGGCAGTAAACCTGGAAAATAGCACTGGGTTACTTTTCCTACTGACTGCCCATGACAGTTGCAATTACTATCCATTGTTCATAGGTGGTAGAAAGTGGAGAGGATACAATAGTGTATTGCCCTCTGGGGGTAAATGAATTTGACTTAAAGGTTCTTGGGGGGTCAGGCACAAAGATTATGTAGTACCCAGGAATGTAGTTTTCCTGCCACTTCAGAAGTTAGATAAGAACAATGACTTAGTTGTTTGCGCAGCTATTTTTTGAGGCAAATAAAGATGTAAGTCTCATGTTCTCATATACTTGTCTAGATGAAGGAGGGAAGGATATGTAAATTTTTTTATCTGAAACTATGAATGTATTGAATTATTAGATTATTAAGGTTAATTTAAAATAATGTATTTAAATAGAACCTTTGCAGATGTTAGGATGTTTACAGCCCTTACAGTATTCACAGAGCCTTGGTGTGCCTGGAAACTTTTCTCCTCCATTTATATTAGCCACTTTTCATTTAATTTTTAATTAGTTCCAGGAGATGTGTGAGTGAATGAGTGTGTGTGTGTGTGTGTGTGTGTGTGTGTGCCCTTTTCTAAATATTTTAAACTATAGCCAAGTGAGGACTGAGCTCTATTTTAAGTGCGGTTTTAAATTGCTATCAGTGAATTAGTTTCAGAGCATTTGGACAAATATTGCGATCATAGCTTGGAAGAGTTTAGAGAGTGGTTCTTACTATTAACATTCAAAAAGCAAAAATGATGAACTTTTTAAAATAGGAAAAGTAAATGGCATTTGATTTGGAGAGTTTAGCTATCAATAGATAGTTGTCATACCCACTTAAAGTCAATCTCATTTTTCAAGAAACAATGTGAGTTAGTAAAGGTCACCTACTTCCAAGAGCATAAACTTATTTTTCATGTTATATTATTTTACCTGTTTGAATTTATATTATTTTATGCTCTGGTACTTTTGAAATGTGAATTAGGTTTTAAAGTCACATTAAAAACAATCCTCTAGCAAACACCTAAAAAGGACACTTAACCTGGTTTTGCAGAACAAAACAGTTTGACTGAGAGGTTCTGCCAGCAGCAGTCAATATATGCTATAAACTGATTAGCTGCTCAAAGAAATCATTTGTTTCTTCTTTAATTATCAGCCACATAGTGTAACTAGCCAGTGTACAGAGTCTTTTGCCCTTATCTATATCAGAAGCACTGAGTAATAATAATGTGAAACTTGAAGAAACATTTTTTTAGTCTCATAGTTACTCAGTGGGGAGGGAAACAATGCCTGTACTCCAGTTGGCAACCAATAGTCACACAAGGTTTCAGCTTGCATGGAATTCATTACACGGAAGGTCACTGCATTGGTACCTCACCTGAGGATAGTATCTGGGGATCCATGGCAGATTTAACTAATCTAAGCAGATCATTCATTTTTCAACAAAGTAATTGCAAAATTTTTATTTTGCTGACTTAATATTTATTTGTAGAATTATAACACAAATATCTGCATGCAAAATAATCTCAATTGTTTTTATCCTGATAGGCTTATGAAAGCAGAACAGTGTACGGGAGGTCACTTTAAAAAATTCTAGACAATTTTCTCTACCTGCCTTATTTTAAGAATTTTTTAGAGCCTGGTTTCTTTCCCCTTAGCATATATGATGGATTCTTCTGACTCTGGTTACAGTGCATTAATTTAGGCCCACAAAATGTTGAATCTGTTTTTAACTTAAGTGCCAGGGACATTTGATACAATGCAACAATTGGTTCTTTTGCATGGATCTAATTTTGTGTATTCTAGAAGATGGGCTATAAAGGCAAACACCAACGCCTCTAGAACTGCCAATAAGGGATTCAAGGAGATAATCCATTCAGCAATACTATAGCCTTTCAGAGCTCATGAATTAAAGACATATGCAGTGTAGATTCAGTGTGGATTAAAGTAGATAATCTTTTAGGTGGCATGTAAATGTTTGAGATAGAAGACATATAGAGTCAGTAAGTGGCTTGAAAGGTATAATTATGTCTAAATAACATTAGATGATTTGAAAAAGCAGGCTTGAAATAGGAATCAGATCCCAGGTAAAAAATCTAGTAAGGAATCCTATAAGTTTTGTAAATTAAAAACATGGAAACTAACATTTCAATATATAAGGGTTTCTATCACTTCGAAAGTTGTTTCAAACATGTTCTTTTAAAATCTAGTAAAGATTTAAGAATCACATGGTTTACAAACAGTAGTCTTGTGATTATTACATTTGTACATTAACCTAAAACATGTTTATCTGTACATTTTTACAAAGGGTTGGAAATGTTGATTAATTTCTGAGAGAACTGTTGGATCTGGAATTTGTTCAATACAAGAGTCAGCCATAAGGAAGGTACACAACATGTAGTCAGTTACTTCTAAATAAAGTAAATGTTTAATGTTTTTAATCTACTAAGCTTGATTTATAGTTCCTCTGTAGTTTCTTATGAGTAATGTTTTCACTTTTTGTAAAAACTATTTCACAAGAACTAAAGAAAGACTGCTGGCACATAGAATATAAGTTTTCAAAATAAGTTTGGCAATGTCTGTAAAAGCAAAGAGTAACTACATTTTCTGTAAACCAGTGACTTGCTTTGTCTCGTGATGCCAGTGTCCTCATGCCAGTGTGTAAATACAACTGATGATCATAAGAAAAGGATAGGCCACTATATCTCAATTGATCTGTATATGAATAGCCCAGTTCACAATTAGGAAGTTTTATATACTTTGTACTTTTTGAAGTACTTAATAATGTGCGTTTTAAACATAAGGTTAATCAAATACTAAGCTCTTACATATTTAATCTGGGCTTTGTATTGGAAAAAATGTTCTCCTCCACATTTTTCTCATTTAATAATGCCTTCATTCATTTTAAAAAATGACTTGTTTGAGAAGTATAAAGATTCTAAATTAAAATAATTATAAACACATTATGTATTTTCTTGTAGATATGAATTCCAAACCTTGTTTAAATACTCTACAGAATATTGGGTAATGCAATTAACCTAAAACCTTTTCCTGTTTGGTATTAAAATTTACTAGGAAAGCATGGTGTAGCCAAAGTGATTTGATGTTACATGGGCTGATTCTTCCAAGTACTTGTGGAAATTGGGCTACCACTTTCGGTTTATTTCCTCATCTACTCATTTTTAGCAAGTTGACAATTATGATTTATTGCCTGCTACTTAGTGAACATCTTTTTACAGGCACAATGTAAACGTCTTTCTTCTAAAATTATTGTGACAAAGTCATTT